ACCGGTGTGGGAATGTGTAGATTTGGTGAGATTGAGCAGAGTAGGTGTTCACTGTGATGTTATACACGCTCAGACACGTATTTGTTGCCTTGGATTAGTGAAGGCGTCATTTATGAGGTTTAAGATTAAGGAACAATAATTGATGAGGCTCCCAGAGCCAATGAAACACCTTCAGCAGCCATCAGTCTCTGAGCTTTCACAGAAAGGCAGGAAAAGGAGTTTCTGGAGAAGACATAAATGCACAACAACCACAGAAAAAACACACAGACAAAACACAGTTCAGTAGGCAACAAAACAATCGCAAAACCAGCAAGAGAATTGTTCAACAGAATGTTTGATAGTTTCATGTAAATGCATTAGATGCAAACAATGAACACACATAAAAAAAAACACAACAGTTCGTTGCATGAACAAACTCCACGTGCGCGCCCTCTCTGGCTCATCAGCCTACCATATCCTGTGATAACAGAACCACTTCACCCCCTGATATTCTCCCTGTAGCTTCTGTGCAGGTCTCCTCAGGTGTGCTCATCCAATGCTACCTGTTGTGGTGTGTGGAGGCTGATGATCGCTGGTCTACTGCCACTATGAATCCTCACCTGCCTGCAGCTCAGCAGCTTCACCCTGGTTGGGCTTTATTTAAATTGTATTACGGTGACATCATTCCTTTATTCTTGTTTATCTTTATTCACGTGTATATATTTATTTGTGTTAATTTATATTATCATGCTAGCATTAACATTCTTATCTGTGTATTTTGATAAACAGGCTAAAGTGTTTAAATTCAAATTAAACCTTTTTTCTTCTTGTCTTTTTTTAAATGACATCACTACAAATGATCAGCAAAATCAACTGAAAAGAAACATTTATTGTGGTAACTTTTTCAGCTGCATCACCCAGCTCTGAAAATCTCAATTTGACAATAAATGCAGATAACACCAAAACTCAAGGAAACCTTTTCAGAAGCTTACTGCAAATTCAAAAACATTGCAAAAACAAAGCTGCAACGAAAATGTTAACTGTGCAACACATATATATGATGAACACAAACTACAGTAAAAAGACAAAAACCTACTGCAAACATACAAACGTTACCTGCTGGAAATCCAAAAGCAAAAACTAAGCTGCACAGCAAACATAAAACTGCACATACACAAAACCTCAAGGCAAACACAAAAACATCCTACAAATACAAGTCAGCCCAAACAAAACATACACTAAAAAAAGAAAACCATCAAATCAATGAGTTGTGACATAAAGGCTTCAGTATAGCAAAGCACAGCAAGCTCCAAAGTCTACGTCAATGTACATCTCTACACTGTATTTAGCTGTGTTTGTGCATTTTGTGTTTTGTTTTTGTGTTTTCTGGAAGTATAGCACGTCTAACTCTCATGGCTGCTGAAAAAAACAGGTCAGATAAGGAGTTGATGAAAAGACTTCTCAGTAAACCTATTTCTGTCTTATAAGGAGTGTGTTTTTAAACAGTGTTTACCATAAAGTCAGAGTTACAATAACACATGGCAGACAGAAGGAAACTCTATCATGTCAGTTGTGAATGCCATAAGTTTTTTCACTGCTAACAGACACTGTAACAAATCCTCCCTCAGGCCACAAAATCCAGGGCGCAGACAATAGCCTCCACACCCCAGACAGGCCGAATGCTGCTCCAACAGGCCGGATCAACAGCCTACTGCTTTAAGTTTACCACCGCTGCTTAGCACCACTCCAGCAGGCCGCCTTTGCCCACAACCAGGCAGGCAGGCGTTGTGTCAGGCAGACAGGAAGCTCAGGGCTGGCCGAGGATCCATGCGGCAGCGGCAGCAGACACGCTATTCTGGCCGGAGAGTTACTGTGAGGCCGACATGGAGGAAGCAGAGGTCACAGGGTCGTGACGTGTCTGTCCTCTGAGGAGCCTCTGACAGCGCCTCAGCTGCACATTCAGGTCAGAGTTGGAGGTGAACAGCCCACCACAGCAAAATGTCCACGTTTAAAGCTGCCATACACAGAGGCAGGGCAACCCTTTAGACAGTTTTTTAAAGGGCCAGTTCACCCAAACTGCAAAAACACATCTGTCTACCAGCTCCAGTGGTACAGCTCTGACCTGTCACGTATTTTATTCAACACTAATGCTGAAATGATACCCGAGTTTCAGCACTAATACGAAAACAACACCTTTTTCTGAGCTGTCAACAACATCACATGGCTCACATAGAAAAGGTCTGCTTGTCATCCGTGGACTGCAAAAATGGGACTGAAGTCACATATATATCATACAGTCAAAAGCCTTGAAAAAAGCTAAATAACTGAGCCTTTCCAAATATCAGCATCCTTATTTTTGAATCTATTTCCAAATAAAAGCTGTTCTGGATCTGATTCATGTGCCTCTCTCTATCTGTAGCCAACACTCTGATGTCTCTCTCAATAGTTACAAGTCAAGTAATAACCTGCTGCCAACACTGAAGATGAATGGTAAAAAGTTTTCTTTTGATTAAACATACATCCATCCATTATCTATTCACCGCTTAATCCTCACTAGGGTCGTGGGGGGGCTGGAGTCCATCCCAGCCGACTTAGGGTGAAGGCAGGGGACACACTGGACAGGTCACCAGTCTATCACAGGGCTACACTTAGAGACAGACAACCAAGCACACTCACATTCACACCTACAGACAAGTTAGAATCACCAATTAACCTCAGCATGTTTTTGGACTGTGTGGGAGGAAGCCGGAGAACCCGGAGAGAACCCACGCTGCATGGGGAGAACATGCAAACTCCACGCAGAAAGATTCCGGTGTCCTCACCGGGACGCAAACCGGCAACCTTCTTGCTGCGAGGCAACAGTGCTAACCTGCAGCCCCCTTTTCTAAAGTCGAGAGACATTTTTGATTTTATTGCAAATGTATGTGTTTAAGATGTCAGTTTTTGGTTTCCTTGACTATCAATAAAATGCATCAGAATTGGCCCTAAACAACCATATTGATCAACCGCTAAAACCTGAACATGTTCAGCTAAAAAATGAATGAAAAAGTCAAACACTGACTGAAAGGTTCGATAAAACAATAAATCTGACTAAAGATTCATAAACATTTTTTGCTGCATCGCTATTTGCATTGAAGTTAAATACCTAATCTCAGTTTGTTTATCTAAATGTGCATATTTTCATTTAACATCAGTAGCAACATAATGGAAGCAAGTGAGTATTGCTCACTAAATTCAAAACTGTTTATAAAAGCCTAAAAACACAAAGTGGCAACAGAAACAGGCTTATATTTTAATCTATACAACACATGAGACTTTCCCCCAATATTTGCAGTTCTCTCTCCCTGTGAAACATGAACACATTCACCTCCTCAGGCTCAGCAAGTAGACTGAAAGGGTCACAAGCCAGAAAGTGGTTGGAAAGCACAGCTTTAAAATGTGAACACACAGAGGAAGAAACGGTCCCTGATGTACTGTTTCTCTGTTTGTCAGCATGTTCTGACACTTCAGGCTGATGTTTCAGTGGATCTGTGACCAGCATACAGTGTAAATGATGCAGAGAATGACCAGTGTAGTCAGTACAGTTTACAGTACTGTCATGCGTTGTAGCTGGTGGTGCTTTTGCATCTCTGTAGCCACTCTGCAGCTCTAACTAGTGACTTTAAGACCCTTAGTCGTCACTATGTGTTTCTACATAATCACCCCGTCTAGTCACTTAGTGAATGATCGCAAACTCATCGGGGTGAAAGAAGGGAAAAAGGCACAGTATGGGAAGAACATTTTTAAATATCAGCTTTAAAATGCGGTTTTACTGTCGATTTTAGACTGTGGATGTTGGGGAAAAGCTTCCCTATAATTAATTCAGCTTCTGTATTTTTCACTGAGCTTGGCCTTTTGCCCCTCCTCAGGCATCATAATTAGACCGTAGCAAGCTTTCAGTTTCACTGCATCGATAGTAACGTAGGTCATTTAGCTTTATGCCTGTCTCATGTTCGGAAACAATTCCGACAGCAAATCACTTAATTATCATGTGTTTATGACAGTACGATCCTAACTAATATTGTCTAAGCATAAAGAAAATTGAACTTTCAGAGGTTAATGTGGAAAAAATTCAGAGCCCTAATGCCAGTATAACAAGTATGCTAACTAACATTACATTTACATTGTGACGGCTGAATTAAAACAACTCTACAGTCCTAAAAATGGTATATCATCAGATTGTCATATAAGTCACTTAGTGTCTCTTTGTAGTCACTTGATGCGTCTTTGTAGTCATTTTGTGTCATGTAGTATCTACTTTATGTCTCTATTTAGTCATCTGATGCATTTTTGGGGCCTTTTTATGTGTGCTTGTAGTCGCTCTGTGTCTCAGTGCAGTCATTATGTGTCTTTGCTATCACTTGTTGCATCTTTGCAGTTAGTCTAAGTCTCTTTCTAATCATTTGATGCATCTTTGTGACTTTATACCTCTGTACAGTCTCTTGAATTCTTTGTAGTCAACCTGTGTCTCTTTGTAGTCACTTTGTGTCTCTTTGTGGCATCTCTGTGTTTTTTTGTGTATCTTTGTATCCCTTTTCAGTCACTGCATCTTCTTGGTCATTTGGAGTCTCTTTGTGGTTGCTTTGTGCCTACAGTTGTCCAAATTGCCCCGTCACTACAGATCCACCCCGACATAATTCAGAGATTACAGCACACCATCCGGATTATTATAGAAAACCATCCAAGAAGATGTGCGACTCTAGTTCTACTTTGTCCTTCCAGCTACACTGGTGTTCAGCTGTAAACTGCTTTGTTACCGTATGTTTTGAATAAATGTTCCTGTAGCCTCATAATGCTCTCAAAATTAAAATCAACAAAACAAGAATGCTGGATTTGGTTGGTAGATATTGCCACTAAAGACACAATTGAGACATCCTTACTTTTAACTGAGCCCTTCAACTTTCCAACACGACACAGGCCCAGGACACAGGCCCTAAGCCCTGTAGACCAGCTCAGAGATGCTTCCATGCTTTAATACTCACTCTCTCCTTCTACTTTGTCAGGGTTCCTGCTCCACACTATCTGCTTCGTGTCCTGCCTTATCTGGAACGTTCTTCTCTCTGGTCGCTGGGACTTCTTCTGGTAGAAGACGGTCATCACTGTGCCCATCTCCAGGCTGTGGAGGATGCGAGGACCTGCCTCTGTCCAGTCCAGCATCCTGGAGGCCATGAGTGGACCGGCAGCCCCCGCAGCACCACCGGCAGCCTCCTCAGCACAGCCATTCAGGCAGCCGCTGAACCTGGCTGCACACATCTTCAGTGCATAGCTCCAAGTGAACCCTGCTGGACTACTAATCTGTGGTGCTCTCTTGAACGGGATCCTTCAGTCACCTACTGAATGCACCAAGGGCCGCAGTTATCCAACATGTCCAAAGGAGGAGGAGGAGGAGGAGGAGGAGGAGGGAGCCAAACTGTGCCACTCAGGGCATTGATTAAAACAACTTCACAATAAAACAGAATCTAGAACACATCACTCAGCAGCCACAGAGCTGAAGCACTGAAACGTCTGAGATGTGAATTATCCTCTGCTGCTCTGGAGGGGGAGTGTATCCCTCTGTTATCCTTTCCAGATGCTTCTGGCAGAACACCAGTGAAATCCGCTCGGGGTGAGTTCTCATCCCCGCTGGACTCAGGTTTCTACCCCTGATAGTCCTTCAGTCCACGACAGCAGAAGTCCGGCTTTAAATCCTGCTTTGAGCGCCGCCGCCGTGTCGCTGCGCGTTTTTACTGCTGCTGGGGCGGTAAACAAGACGTGGTTATCCCACGGTCCTGGCTTTGGCACAATTAAGTCAGTGCGAGCGACAAAGACGGCGAGTTATGTAATGACGAGTCGGACAAATACCCGGAGGAGGGTGCAGCGGGGCGGCCGGCGGCTTCACGGAGACGGAGAGACGCGCTGATGGGAGAGCGGCCGCGCCGAGAACCGTGTGCGCTCCCATCCGCCGAAGCATTCTGCTCCACGCTCACCGACTGCTGCTGCCGCCGCTCTCCGGACACCGGACGACAGGATGCATTTACCCGAAGCAGTCACCCGGTTTTGGAGAGCTGAGGCGTGCGGGGTTGAGGCGTTAATTGGTCCGGTTGCTCCTCGGCCAGGATCTGTGTCCGCGTCCCCTCAGCTCCACCGACACAGGTCTGGAGAGGAAATTAGGGCTAGCAGACCGGAAAAGCTTGATCAGATTTTTTTTTTTTTTTCTTTCCGTGCTGCTGGAGTGGATCTGAGGGAGGATGAAGGGAGAGGAGGGACAGAGGAGGGAGAGTCGGAGAAGGAGAGGAGGCGGAGAGCAGAGCGACCTCCGCGGGCCTCCAGGAGACCTGCAGGCTGCGCTGGAGGAGGGAGGTTTTTTTTTTCTCTCTCCCTCTTGTTTGTGTCAAAATACACGTTTAAGGTCCGCCGCGTACACCCACGTACAGGGGCAACAGTCCCCGACGTAGCGGCCATGAGTTCGAATCCCGCTCTTGGACCTTTGCTGCAGGTCCTTCCCCCATTCTTCTCCCCCACTTTCCTGTCTCTCTCTCCACTGTCCTATACAAAAAAAGGCCAAACAAATGACTTAAAAGTTAAAAAAAAAATAAAAAAATACACGTTTAAGTGAACGGGTTATTGGTGCTGTCAGGAGGTCAAGTGCGGTTCAAACTGCAGAGGTCACCCACATGTCAGGCTGCCATCAGCTGCAGCAGTAAACCATTCAGACCCTGGTGACCCAGCCTGAGAGGGAAAGTTGTTATTTCCCTTTGAGTGCAGAAGAATCAGTTTTAACAAATAGTAGATTCTTAAAATTTTTATTTATTCATTTTATTTTAAGTTTTGCAGATCAGGATTACATTCAGATTAGAATATATAATGCACTCCAGATAAACACTACAAACTAGTCATTAAAAATAGCTCCATCTCATCAAACTACAACTTTTGTTACTGCTAATTTCTTAAAGCATTGGAAAAATGAATATAAGAAATTCAGTAGAGATAGTTCAATATTATGCTTTTGTACTGGAACAATCAAACGTTTCAACATAAACTGATTCAAGGGTATTTGTTTGTTTGTTTTTCAAACTATTTTCTACAGTCACACAAATTAAATGATGTAGTGAAGGGGAAACAGGTTAAATATACGAAAATGTGTTTTGTATCATTTTATTCTTTAGTGCAGTCATTGTTATGCACATTTGTATATATTTTTAAAATAGTGTTTTTTTTCTTACAAACCTCATACCAGCTCAGTTTTTATGTGTTTTTGTGACATCTGGGATCATTTTAGCTAAAAGGTGAACCCTGTCCGCAAGTCAACTGGTGGAATTTCTGCCTTCTTACTGATCCATCAGCTGGACTGTGTCGAGGTCATGCTTGTATTTGGCTCTATTCAACTACTGCAGTAATCCATATGATGGCAACAACCACTCAGCGAAGTAAAAAGAAACAACAGTTCTTCATTACTTAAGGACATGAAGGTCTGTCAGGCCAGAACATTTCAAGAAAGTTTCTTCAAATGCACAAAGCATCAAAGTCTGTGAAGAAACTCACTTTCATGAGCACCGCCCCATCGGAGGAAGGCTAAGAGTTTCCTCTGCTGCGGAGGAGAAGCTCATTAGCAGCCTCAGAAATTAACAGTTAACAGCAGCTTAGATTCGAGCCCACATCAGAGTTTCCAGGAGGTCAAGTAGCTGGCAAATGTCAACTTGGGATCCAATATTCAACATTTTTGCTATTAAAAGAAGTAAAAATTCCCATATAATAAATGCATTCACAAATGTGCAACAGGTCTCTCTGTCTGCAGTCCATACTGTCCACAATAATGTACACATTACCATAGCAGTATTTGAATGGTTACACATCCCACCCAGTTTATGTGGCCAATAGATAATCAACATTGAGAGACAAATGTCAAAAAAAGACAAAAAAAACCCAAACATGTAAAGTGTTAGTAAAGAAATGCCTTTTAATGGAGTTTTGTGTTGAAGTATATGTTACTCTGAATGTAGATGGCAAGATTTAAATTTTCACTACAGATGTATATTGGTTCCAGACATTAGTTATTAGTCCAATTAATTCCTAATAGCTGATCGGTATTGTCCCTGAAAAACAGAGAATGGTCGATCTCTACTGTCAGTATCAGCTGTTCCGGGGAGACTGTATGAATCAGACCTTCATGGTGGAACTGTTGCAAAGAAACCACTGCTGAAGGAGATCAAGAAGAGAAAGAGAACTGTGGACCAAGAAACACAAGGAATAGACAGGAAAACCAGTCTAAGTGTAAGTATTTGGGTCCAGCTGCTTGGATGGTTTTTGCATGTGTGGTTCCCACCATGAAGCATGAAGGAGGAGATGCGATGCTGTGGGGGAACTTTGCTGGGGACAATGTTTGAAGGTCTATTATCCAGCATAGCTACTACAGCTTCCTGCAGAGACACATCATCACATCTGGTTTAAGCTCAGTGGGATCAGTATTTGTTTTTCAGCAGGACAATGAGCCAAAACATCTTCTGGCTCTATTAGGGCTGTTGGACCAAGAAGCAGAGTGATGGAGAGCTGCATCAGATGACCTGGCCTCCATAATCACTACCTGAACCCAGCTGAGGTGGTCTGGGATGCGTTGGAGCACAGAGTGAAGGAAAAGCAGCCAACAAGTGCTCGGCATATGTGGGAATTACTTCAAGACTGCTAGAAAAGCTCCAGGTGACAACCTCATGAAGCTGCTTGGAGGATGAAGAGTGTGTGAAGATGTGATCAAAGCAAAAGGAAGAAACTTTTTTAAAAAATCTAAAATTGTTACGGTTACACTTACTTTTATTCCTAACTTCCTTTGTGTTATCTCATGCTTCAGTATTGCTCTATAGTGTGGATAGTAAAGATAAGGAACAGTGATAATTTCTAGGGTTCCAGTAGGGTCCTATGTGCTGTCAGTGTTCGGGCCCTAATTAGAGTAAAACCATCTGTCTAACATTATGTAGGTCTCCCTGGTGCTGCTAAAATATCTCTGTGCCATCACAGACTGAGCTCCACAGACCTCTGAAGATGTCCTGTGGTGTCAGACACCAACATGTTAGCAGCAGATTCTTTAAGTCTTAGAAGGTGGGACCTCCATGGATCAGACTTGTTTATCCAGGACATCCCACAGATGATCGATTGGATTAAAATCTGGGAAATTTAGAGGCCAAGTCAAAACTTTGAACTCTTTGTTCCTCAAACATTCTTGAAGAACTTTTGCAGTGTGGCAGGGAGAGCTATCCTGCTAAAAGAGGCCACTGACATCAGGGAATACTGTCGTATCTGTCAAGTTTCTGTTTTATGTGTGCACATTTTATGTCTTGTCTTTCCTGTTTTATTTTGAAGTGACTAACCGGTTGTCTCTGTCCTAGTTTACTTCCTGCACCCGTCTCATCACATCTGCTCCCTGATGGCTTTCCCTCACCTGTTTCCCCATCTCCCCTCATTACCTCATGTATATTACCTTGTGTGTCTCACAGTCTCGTTGCACTTCACAGTCTTCGTACCAGTGTTTCTTCATAGCCACAGTCAAAATCATAGTCTGCTTTGTTTGCGACCTCGTTTCTGTTTTTGACCTTACCTTTCGCCTCTCGTTTTTTGGATACCTCTGCCCTTTTGACTGACTTCCTGTGTACCGAACCCTGACTGGTAACAAACCTGCCTTTTTGCCTGACCCTGTCTGTGTTGAGCATTTGTGTCCGCCTGTTCTGTGTGAGTTCTTGACAAATAATGAACAGGTGTCGTGGTCTGCAGCGATGTTTAGGTAGGTGGTAGGTGGTATGTGTCAAGGCAACAACAGCATGAATGCAGGACTGAGCTGACCTTTGTCCAGACCATCACACTGCCTCCACTGACTCGCCTTCTTTTTGTCGGGCATCCTACGGTCAGCTCTTCAATGGAAAAAAAACACATCCTGCTAATCACATGATGCTGAAGCAACAGGGCTCAGCATTGACACTGACTGATCTGGTACCCTATCACTAGTTAGTTATCAGTTGTTCTTCCTTGCACCATCTTTGGTACTAACCACTGCATACAAAGAAAACCACACAACACCTGCTGTTTTGGAGATGTTCAGATGCCTATCCCAGATGTTCATTCCGCAAAACCTACAGCCGAGAGACTTTGCTGAACATCAGGGCAATGAACATTCCTAAAATTGATGTCTTGCCTATCCCAGACATGCATTCTGCAAAACGTGCTTATTAAATGATCCTGAAGAAACGCTCGCTCATCTTACCTGTACTATTGTGTATGTACAGCAAAATGACTAAACTTGATTTGATTTGAAGGTTTTTTTAAGACATTTTGTTCAAAGTGGAAAGTTTTTCTGAGCTCAGCTAAGACATAAACCTTAAAGCATGATTTCACAAATAATTTTGGAACCTCAGGCGTGTGATTTAGAAATGTAAAGCCTTTTAGTGGTTCTCAAACTTTTTCAGGCCCCCCTTCAGAGGACAAAAAATTTTGGGCCCCCTCACCTTAAATAGTCATGAAATGAGTTGGGTTAAAATTTACTGAATATAAATACATATCATGAGCAGTCCAATAGCGCAAAAACGTAACATGTTTAGTGATCAGTAAAAAATAACTGGGAGGGATAGGCTTCAATTTTGTGGTGGTAGTCTCATCAGTCATTGTTGACAACATATCAAGAGCAGTGGGGAGTATGAGATCCTCAGCTACTGGATGTGGTTTCTTGCACTTGGAGATTCTGTTTCAGGGCTCCATGTTAACTTTTCCAATGGTAACACTGGTGCTACCAACTTTCTTTGTTGGTCGCACCAGTTAATGATTTGGTCGCCTCACTCCCTTATTTTGGATCAGCATTGCCACAGCGATTAATCCACCATGCATGCTGATAAATAGCTGTTTTGCATAACTTTGTTTCATTGCAATGATTTTCAGTGACACAAGACTTGATATTTATAAAATGTTTTAACCTGAAGACATTTTTATTTTGTCACCAATCCTCTTCCAATGTCAGTCATTAACTGGACACAGGCTAAACAATTGCTGAAAATGCCCATAAGTAGAGGCTACATTTTACCGATGTTCCCTGAACGCTTCACATGCTGCTCCAGTAGGTCAAATCAAAATCAAAATCAAATCAAATCAAATTTATTGTCATTTTGCTGTAACTCCTTCTACTTGGATGCTACTAGGTGTCTGCAGTGCAGCTCCCCTGACAGGTAAGCAACCAAGCATTAGTTAGAAAACAGTGGAAAGCGCATTCTACACAATTTTTCTCAGGTTGAAAGGTTTTCTATGAGCAGAGTTTTTTTTTTTTTTAATGAACAGACTTTTCTACGAGCCGAGTGCATTTTAAATGTCCATACCACTGGCTATCCTGTTTATAGAAAAACTGTGATCGCTGTTAAAAGTTGAACCTTCCAGATTGAATGTGGGGCTACTTTTTCTTCTTAACTGACTCAGACTGTCTGTCTGCTTGCACCTGAACACTTTTATCATCAGGTACGACCTCTCCCTCTCCTCCTCCCACTTTGCTGTTTTAATCGGCTATATATCGTTTGATCATTGGAACATGGTAACAGCGAAACTGACTGTTTAATACGTCAGACAGAGAGAGACTGAGTCAGTGTGGAAGAAATATTACCATTTGAAACCACAATAACTTGCGCAGTAACAAAAAAAAAAAAAACAGGCCGGTGTTAAAACAATAGTTCAGCACAGTATTTCCGTGTAGACAGACCTTTTCCTCCCGGCCGCCCCCAGGGGGCCGTGCCACACACTTTAAGAAACACAACTAAAAGTTAAGGGGAGGAGGGTAATGTCTAAACCAAGTAACTGAAATTTTTCATGGAAAATGCTTTCAGACACCAATTAATATGTGTTGAAGAGACCATTGCAACAGAAATTATCTCATGACCTCTCTGATTTATCTGGTGACCCTTCCAAGTGGCCTGACTCTTAGGTTGGCAACCACTGGACAACACTAGCTGTGTACCACTGTATATAAAGTAGTGAAAAGTAGCTCCAGTTAGTCGACTAGCAAAATCCAGTTTACACACAGATTCATTAATCTGATGAAGTAATACACTGTAAGATAACTCTCAAGGCTCATTTTACTGAAGAGCAAATCATTTTACTTTTGATACTTCAAGCACATTTTACTGATAATAGTTGCACACTTGCGTTTAACTAGGATTTTGAATGGAGTGCTGTAAGGTATAATGGAGGACATTTTAAAGTCTGCTCATGGTACTTTTACTTAAATTAGTATCTGAATGCGTTTCCCCCTGCTGATCAGTGGTTAAGTTGTGAAATGGGGAAAGTTCAATAATATGCATTAGCAGAAGCCTCAGACGCAGTAACAGAACACATATGTGAAGTATGCGAGTGTCGACTGATCCACCTCAGAGAGATGAGACAGTCATGGATGATATCACAGCCCCTCCATGTCTAATCAGCTCCATATGTCCGCTGGGTGTATCTGCCTTTCCACTACCACTGGTCAGCCGCCAGCCAATCAGGACTCCAGCAAACTCCTCTCACATGTCCTGCAGAGGAAAGACAGGGGGGCGGCGAGTACTGCAGCCAAGAGTTTCATGGCAGAGTGGGGAGGGAGGGCAAGCCTCCAGTTGATCACTGAACAGCCACATATCATGTCCAAAATAAGTCAAACACACACACAGCACTCTTACATACTGTTTGGTCAGTTGCTACTTCTTTTCAAACTGAAAATTAAGCTTTCAAAGCTGCTCTGAACTACAGAAAAAGAAAACTTGTGATTTTTTTTTTTTTTAGGTTCTTGCTATGGTAAGTTTTTTCTGGTGGTATGAGCTTTTTGTTTGTAGATATATGTTACCATGTGAGTAAGATCAATTGGCCTGCACTGTTGCCATGTTTTTTATATTACCACTGGAGGGCGCCAAAGCCAAAAGGTTTGTGGCTTAAAGTCCTTGTCCAGCAGTTGATTAAACTGCCTTTTTAAAAAATGAAAATAATCCCTCTCTCTCCTAAAATGGCATTGATGTAACTCTACACCATTCCTTCCTCTAGAATGTGTAGATCTATACAGTCCCTCCTTTCTCCACTCACCCCTCACCTCTCGCTGCAGCATGAGCACACCAGCTCAAAACTGCTCATACACTATAAAACTACTCTACACTGTACATGTTAAATTAAACTTGAGTTTCATTGAAGGAACTATTTATATACAGACATCAGCAGAAAGCAACATATTGTGAAGTCATGACCAAGTTTAATACAAGTTCATGAGGACAAAGAGGTAAAAATAAAGAATACTGACAGAAATTTAGGTTTGTATTAATTAAATTAAAATTTTGGTCACTAGGAGGCAGAACTCAAAACAAGGTAAAAGTCACAGCACCGCATATGATCAGAGCGTTATTCTGGCTACTTTGTTAGCAACCAACTGCTTATTTACACATCCAGCAGCTATACAGCAACATAATAATTCACTAGAAGTCAGGTTTGGTTTCAGCTGATGCATTTGAGCCCTTTAAGCTCTGATTTGTTCTCCACCAACTCCTCAGAAAAATATCTGGCTCTTTAGCTGCAGGAAGCGAAAATAGGCTGCAGATTTTATTGTTCTCAATAAATTCATCAGAATCTCCTCTACTTTCAGTTACGTGATTGGATGTTAATTTAAAAAGTACTGATTTATGTAGCTTAGGTTAAGAAAATTATCCCTATTCACAAACTAAAGCACTAAAGAAGAATGTGAAGGATAAGAGAACAAAAATACTGCAGGGTCAAAATTCCTCAGCTTCTCAAATGACCACTTCAATTTTAAAATGAACAATCTGGAATTTCTTGTCATTTTTCATATATGTATATGTGAGGTATGTTCGCATACACATTTAGAGAGTTTGACATACAAGTGAAATAAACACAGATATAAGCCTGATTTACTCCAAAGTTTACAGATATCACTCATTTTCTGGTTTCCAACCACATCCCACTGTTCTCCTCAGCACAGGGTTTAACTAAGCATTAACTTCATGTGGGTCATTCCCTGGTCATCCGCTCAAGACGGTCACACTGTGTGGTTGAAAGGTCAAGAATAAGGTAATGAGTGCATCTCCTCAAACTACTGTTTGCAAATATATTTTAGAATCAAGAAACATAACAGACTTGGATTAATTTTGTCTAGTGCCAGTTTGTAAATTCAAATATTTCATCATAAAACTGGGTTGCACTTGTATCTTTTGATTTGTAGCAGTACAATCTCCGTTGTGCATCTTCTGTTTGAAAGTTATTTTTTTTGAGAAACCCTCCTAGCTATCAGCTGTAAAAAACACATAAAACTGCATGACGACTTAGTTATAATTTACTTGTTCCTGCAGGGCTTTCCGACAGACCAAACTCCTTCAGTAGTTCTCATTTTAACCCTGTTTTACAGACATCAGATCTGAAAGACACAGGCCACAACACAGCTGTGATTGCCTGTATTTGAAGTGCATGGCATTAACACTGTTGGGGTTCATGAGGACCATGCTCTACAAACACATTCACTCTTTTACTGTGAGGCACTTTGGAAAACAATGTCAATAAAAAGACAAAAAAACAAAACAAAAAAAACAAGTGCTGTGCAAGATAATCTTTAGTTGGCTAACAGAAAGTTGCTGTCGTTGCTGCTGCCTCTTTGGAGCTCTGTGACCAAGTTGTGGAGTTTCTCTGACAGTGCCACCTGGTGAGAGAGAAAGCAACAGGCTTGGTAAAAAAAAAAAAAGTCCTTCAGCTATGGAGAGTATAGTAAATGAAAGTCTGTTTTGGGATCGTAGAGAAGGTTTAAGTTGCTCTGTGCATTTGCATTCGATACAGATTGGATCGAGACTCACTGTGTAAGAGTCTGGCTCCTGCAGCCTCTTGTGTCGAGGGTGCAGAGCTTGGAGGGAGCTCTGGACCTTTGCTCTAGTTTCTGCAGCACTGCACAGAGGCTGCGTGACCTAGAAAATGTGGAAGACACAGTCATAAAGACAAAACTCCTCCACAGCATAGTCTTGCAAAAACGCCTTGTTTTGTACTGGTGATGGACCTCAAGAATACAAAGTTAGTTTGTGTTTTTAAATGTGATTCTACATGCTTTTAAGGCAGCATTATAGATGTTGTTGCTGCCACTGTATATCTGTTGTTTAGTGTTATTAAAAAATCTAATCTAAATACTGTACATGCCAAAATTCTTCTTAAGCCACAGAGGATCCTAACAGTTGTGTTTTACTCTTTAATGCTTTTAATCAAGTGCATCATTATGAATCAAACCATCTTAATAAAACATTTCTACATGTAACACAATGCAAGTTGTCTATGCATTTCCATTAACAAACAGTCTTCTGCACAACTACAATAACAATCATTTTAAAAAAGCAAATGGTCTACCAGTGTATTTTATGTTATGGAGACATCAGCCTTTGAGCATTCATGGTAAGCCCTCACCTGTCCTTTCGTGAACACTTCCTGACGCAGACAGGTGACTTGAGCTGGAGTGATGGAGACAGCGGAGTTATCACACCCCAGAGGGTAGCAGCTCAGCGGGAGTCCTGCCTCTGGAGGAGTCTCCACTGCCAGACACAGCAGGTCCAAAAAAGGATGGTCTGAAGAGCAGAAATGAGTAAGAAACAAGTTTGAGTGACATCAGTGACCCAGTCCAGAAAACTAAACTGTTGGCTGAATGTTGCTATACTGAGAAATCACTATTGGAGAAAGTAAATATGTAAAGAAAGTGATACAAGAAAAGAAGCCCAAGTTGAAGTTGTTCTCGGACTAAACCTGAAAATTTGCATCATAAATGTCTTTGATGTGTAATATAGATGACAGGCGCTTTATATACAGCACTGATTTCACTTCCCAACAAAGAACAAAAGTGAATCATTTTAAATCATGTGATGAAAGCAGAATGAGCAGCATATACAGCTAAGCCCCACATTTTTCAAAGCCATGCCAAATTTTTATATTTCATAGTTAATTTCTATTTGACCAACAGGTTTCTTATTGCTGGAAAACATATTAAAAAAAGACAAAAGCAAGTAAAACACTGTGTTGAATATATTTATAATTTCTCTGTGTTTTTTGTGGACATTTTTAATAAAAAAAGACAATGTCCAAAATTATTCATATCATCATCCCAGCAAATGTTATGGTATAGGAGCTGAGTTTTATCAAGGTTTAAACATTTTGTAGGGTTATGACAGGCAGGCATTTTCAGTGAAAATGCAAAAAATTAACATAGAAATAGTGCCTAAATACCTTATTCAATGTGTGCTTTGGAAACCTATGATAAAAAAAATTCCCCAGAAATACAGAACTTAGCTATGTACATGTTTTTGCTCTAGATACTTAACTGATTACAGCGGCTATAACCCATTCTTGGGTTCTTCGTGAAAATGATCTAAGAGGATTCTGGTTGTGACTATTTACAAGTTAAGTACTTTATCACATTGATTTAGGACTGCAGAAAAACAAACTATTTTCATACGGCAGTCTTGCATATTGGATCTCAAGACTGCCAACTGGGTAAGTGCACTCAGAAATGCTAAGAGAGGGGCTATAGTCCTCGACGCAGCAGTCATAGGTTCGAATCCCGCTTACGACCCTTTGCTCTACTGCTCTACAAAAATAATGTAGGCAAAAACATAAAATAAAGCTAAGACATGGCTATTATTGTAGCAGCATGGTAAAATATTAATTATTACCAGATGACCCAGCCATAACTAGCATAAGAGTTCAATAATAAAAAGCTGCCATGCTGCAGTTCTTGGGATGGGAACGTTATGCAGCTGCAGACAAAAGGTGAAGCAGCTAGTTCACACTAATTCTCACCGTCGGCGTCCATTAGCCGGTAGACAGCTTTTCTCCCAGGAACAGTGCTTTTCTCTGGATCCTCACTGATCTTCATCCTGGGCCTTCCTCTCACCTCCACCAGCTTGTATACACACATGAATAATATCATGCACTTGTTAACATGACTGAAAGACTGAGAGACGACTGAATGTGCACTATACTTTTATCAGATTACCTTATACACACAGCCCAGTGAGGGTTGTTTTGTGCATGTGACTAGATGTGTTCCAACACCAACCACATTGATCTCATTCTCCTGAAACAAGGAAACGACAAAATGAGCGACTGAGTCACACTGAATAATCCTGCACGCTCACGCCCTTTACCTTCTTGTTGAGCTCAGCCATGCTTTGCTCTGAGATGTTGTTGGTCCCAACGATGATCAGAGAATCAAAAGCAGGAATGGAGAAACTGAAGAGATGAACAGAAAGAAAAAACAAGTATGAAAAATCAGACATGCACTGTAGACTTGTGGAGGAATCAAATCACACCTCACGTTTCCAGGTCATAAAGGCATACTGATGGACACATGCAGCACCTCACTCACTGCTCACTGCAGAGTCTGAAAACACGACGGACATCAACAGACTGCCTGCAAAGGTCCCCACTGTCCAGACGAACTCCTACAGGTCTGTGGCCGAGTTCACACAGTGCTAAAGCCACAGCGCAGAAGTTCAACAGGCCGCTACTGAAATCATAAATACACACATTAGATCAATTTGAGACAGATGAAAATAAATGCACTCCATCTTGAGTTGTACACAAAGGTCCACTGTGATGCAAACTACATTTTGCTGCTGATACTAGGAACATCATTCTTTTGCATAATTCAGATACCAACTGTGTGTTCTCTCAAGGAAAGGTTTGTCTCTCATACACGCTCATTTAACAGTAATAATAATAATCTGTGCTGAGAAGGCAAGCTTGACCCTAAGGCCTTGGAGCGCACATGAGGACTTATTGTATATATTTAAGGCTTGCACAAATAATTCTGTAGAGGCCTTGGAGTGCTTCGTTAGTGGAACAGATAGATAAAAGCATGAGAGACTGACCTGCACCTTTCTGTGCCCTCTGTTAGGAGGGTATAACAGACAAACTTCCTTACAAGACTGAGTGTGACTTTATGTTTATGAGGTATATATGTATATATATGTTTGATTGGAATATATAATTCAGATGGGCTTGATCTTTGTAAATTTACTTTTTGTAGAATTCTCACCTGCTGTTTAATGGAAATTTTTATCTGTTTATTTTTTGGAGACGGTGAGGAGGTGCGGGATAAAGACCAGCAAGGACACAAAAGGGGGGAAACCCCACTATGGGAAGGGGCATTTTCAGATTTTTCAATGGCAAGTTGAACATTTAATGCTGTTAATCATAAGAGGAATTGGGTATTGGATATATACAATTACTCATTAGTAGCCTCTCATGTTAAAAGGTTTTCTGAAAAATATACTCTTGGAAGAAGTCAATGTCCACCAGTGCCACCTACTGGTAAAAATAATGTAGAATTCCTGCTGTTGTAACTGAAGGAAGGACATGTACATCACAATACCTTAAATGGCATTACATTGTCAAAATTGCAATACTAGTTAGTGGTACTCGTACAGGACAGGAGCTAAAAATTAAATCATTGCATCATTTTAGAAACAACAGGGCTTCTTTGTCATCTGTCACATACTTATTTAAAAAATGATAGATGTCAACTGGTGTGTACACCAGCCAAAACATTAAAACTGACAGGTAAAGTGAATGTCATTGATCATCTCATTGCAAAACAATGCTTTTCCGGAGATCCTTTGGTCTGCTGTTCATGTGGATGTTACTGTGACACGCACCATCTACATAAACATTGTTGGAGACCATGTATAGCTCATCATGGCAATAACACTCCCAGATGTGAGCGGCCTTTCTCAGCAGGACACCATGCTCTGCCACATAGAGAAACAGCTAAATGAACATTACGAAGAGCCACAGGCATTGACCCAGCCTCCAAACTTGCCAGATTCCAGTCTGATTCTTAGAATATGCTGGAGCAAGCTTGATCCACAGAGACCTCAATTCATAACCCACAGGACCCAACGGATTTGTTGCTAACATACCAGAGTCAGACACCACAGGTCAAATCCAGAGACAGAAATCCAGTATCCATACCCCAGCAGCTCAGGGCTGTTTGGGTGGCACAAAGAGGTCCTACACAATATTAGGCATGCGGTTTTAAAATTGTGGCTGATCTGTGGGTATGCTGAACATGGGTAACCTTTAGTTTGGGTTGTTTATTTTACCATTATGAGGGCATTTAATCACATAAAAGTACAAAAACAGCACTACAAATTCAAGATATATTTGCATCTTTGGGGAATGTAACAGTAAAATATAGGAGTTACCAGCCAACACTGTAGCTGTCAATCACAGGGAGGAAGTTCTGAGGGTAGGCGATGGCATAAGACAAAAAAGCAGCCAACTCGCCCTCACGGATCTTCCCAGGCTCTGCTCCCAGCAGCTCACACACGCGACTCAGCCAGCCTTTTGTTAGAGAAATCACATCGACTGGCTCGGGATCCCCGTTCACTGCCACAAGGGTCTGAGTGAGAAACAACAACAGACAGCTATCAGTAACTATATGACACCATCACAGACCAGAGTTTCTGCAGGGTTTTCAAGGGTTTCAAGTAGATTAAGACATTTTTTTCATACAACAGAGATTTAAATTTAACATTTCTGCTAGTCTCTGCTAGTATTCAGAATGATTGGACCTATAGTAACTTTGAAGTAAACAAATTTATTGGTATTTATTAACCATTTTTATTTATACTACCCAGCAACATACAATCATTCTTAGTAATGTAAATTATGAATTAACGTTAGCTTAATAAGGAAACACATGGGTGGATTAGCTAATTTAAAATAGGTTGCATTTTTGTTGAAATTGACATTTACCCAATACGAGTCCATTAGCTCCATAGGGACAATGGTCAGTGGTGTTAAGACTTCAGTGACTTTAAAAGCACCAAAAGTGAAGGTTTTAAAATGAGCCCACAATTACAGTAAGAACAACATTACCGTCATCACAGTTTACCCCATGCTCCCATATTCGTATGTCTTGACTATGGATAAAACTGACACATACTCTCAACCAATTGTTTAGCCTCTGAAACATTCAAGAATAGTGCAAAAATTTAAATTTGCCAAGTTGGCATTGTCAAGTGATGACTTCAAACTGTGTCTTTTGTCTACCAGCAGTTAAAGTGATGTAAGACAAGGTAAAGCGGCAAAACACACCTTTGAAAAGCTTGAATAATCAGAATGAATAAAGACATTTCTGACAATTAATCGATCATTTCAATTCTTGATTGGAATGATAAATTCTAGAGTGCATGATATTATTATGAGCTTTAGAGGTGAATATTATACTGGTACAGATTGAATCTCTCCAGTTCCTGTCTCATTTGTTCAGTCTGTAGGGACAGAAGTTAAATCTTGTGTTGATCTGGGTTCGAGCTCTATATTTGACCTTTAACTTTTCAATCATTTCATGTTGTTAACAGCAAAACGAAAGAGTTTTACACTGTGCTAACCACTCTCCAACAAAAGTGATGGGGAAAAGAAAGGCAGTGAATTTTTTGCTGTGATGAACAATGCATGTTTTTGGTCTGTTTTGGACAATAAGCAACAATAACATAAGCAAACACAATTTACAGTTAATGAGCTAAAACCACAGGTCTGTTCCTATTCAGATGATCTGAGGAAACATCACATACTCACTTGTGGCCACACCTCCTCCAGGGAGGTAAAGGAAGTGACGTATGAGTGTGCCATGGTTCCTGCGACAGGGATCCCGAACAGAAAACCAGCCTGAACATTACTGGTGAGATCAAACCCTGAAAGACATGTTCCAGCGTGAGTGTATGCATGTGGAATATAAGAAAATCACTTCCTGTTTCTTGCTTATTTGCTGTCATCTAGTAATAGCTATACATTCTTTAAAGGGTGACAATCTTTTCTGACACTGTAATGATCAGAAAAAACGTCTCATTTCTTCATGTATTTTTACTATTTACTGGAGAGACACCGTGCAATGGAAATTAGGTTTAAGAAACTACATTTCTTCAAAAGTTAAGGATAAAGGCTGATAATGTAGATTCAGGTCGATGTATCTCCTCCCAGTGAGTGCGCCTAGATCTTTGTGACTTGTTGAGGAGGTAAAGTGATAGTTGTGCATCACCTCAGAGAAAAGGTCTGGATCCTCTGTACAGACATGAAAAAAATTCACATCTCACTTAGTCTACTCTTACATTTTTGTCATAAAGGGATTGATGTAAGTCTCTATATCCCAACAAAAATTCAAGGACTTTTCAGCAGAACTGCAGAACTTTACACAGAGCAGAGGGGAGACAAGCATGAAAAGAAAGTAAAATATAAACAGTAAAGTATCTAGAGTATATAGAATGATTATTTTCTATATTTGTAGCACATTGGACATTTGGAAAAATGTTGTATATGTTGATTCCTGTTTTTTTTTTATTAATTAATAACCAAAGATATTCAACTTTCATTTTTTCTTTTTTGTTATTTATGGAATTATAACTGTCTCATACTAAACAAAAGACACGTTTGTTTACTTTCAGCCATTATGTTGTTTCCATCGAGGCACAGCACATGACAGCAGTGTGACAGCAGCAAAAAAACACACATAATCTGTTGGGTTTGAGAGGGTTAAGAAAGCAATTTGTAGCTAGGAAATGCACAAATGTGCAAAGGATTTATATAAAGGCTTGACAGAGTGAGTGTCAGAATAAATAATCTTTGACAGACCACACAGCATTCACCTCCAATGTGTGTGTATCGTGAGGCGGTGAGTCCTCCATCTGGTCCCTGAGCCCTCCTGAGGCCCATCTCCAGTAGCTTCCTCCTGGGGCCGGCTGCCAGGCGGAAACGGGCAGCGTTGCTGCACACCAGACTGACAACAGGGATGAAGGAGGACACGACAGCAGCCAGCTGTTTTATAACTTCACATAAAGTCAAACACACAGCAGTATAAAATGCACAGTTTTAGTCCAAAGCAGTAGCTGGTTAACTGAAGATGGAAGCCACTGTGCAACACAGTCCAGAGACCTTAAAACATACAAAGATCAAAGGACTCAGGCAGGAAGAATATGTAGCAGAGGGAAAATCACTGTAAACATGTTTCACTTTAAAATGGCACTTTAGCTTTAGTATGTAAATTCTTTGCCCTTATTTTAAGAAAGAAATTATTCACCTCTTTAAGTACTTAAAAAATTCTTGACTTTGCCTCTAAAGTTACCCTTAAGTCTCTGTATTTCTATAAAAAACTTTTCGTCAAATTGTATATCAGTATCACATGTATTTTTTAACAATTTATTCTTCCGATTGTTCACTACAGTAGTTACAGCATATGCTACTTTCTTTAAATCAAATACATAATTTTATGGCTATTTCATTTCATGAAAATCAGTTATTCCAAATCTCTTCTGCAACAGTTTATACAAACTTTCCCAAAACATATTTGGTATCTTTGGATAGTATTTAAGATAAGATAAAGATAAGATAAACTTTATTGTCTGTCACAATTTCATCTCAAAGTCTGCAGGAAACTAATATAAGTCAGGGGAATGTCCTCTGAAGTGACAGAAACATGTCTGTGTGTGAATAGTTACCTGGCGTAGTTGACAAGACACAGTAAACTGGTCTCGAGAAGCTGAACCACAGCCAGTGGACCTGCCACCTCCATCAGAGGCACCTGCAGGTGTTACACACATGCAGCAGCAGTTACTCCATCTGAACGTCTACAGACTCTGACTGTGACCTTTGAACCACACTTTCACACTGAAGGTCTGCAGCTCACCCTGGCAAACACCACGGTGCCCTCTGGGACGGAGCGGAGCGTTACACCAGAACAGTCAAGGTCTCGGAGGAACTGGAAGAAGGCTGGGTCGGTGGCCGGAGGCAGGACTGAACGCAGGAACTCTACATCTAGAACCATGAAATACACAGTGTTAACACAACAGCTGGAACTCTGTCACTAACACCAACAACAGAGGGCATCCATATATTCATCGTGACACACGTGTTCTTACACAAGCATGCCCTCCATATGTCCTCCTGACTCACATGTCCTCTCTCACAACACATATACAATTACACTAACAGAACTAATGTAATAAGTGTCTGTCCAGCTAATCTAATCCAGCAGACGTCCGTGTTGTGACTGAAATGAAGGTTAGAAGGAACATGTTTGAACTCAGGTATGCATTGGAACAACATCATTAATGTAGCACATTTGAAGCATCCTGATAGACCCCTGACAGGCTCCATTGTTATTGACTGCAGTGGTGAAAAGTAATAATAGGTACATTTATTCAAATGTTGCATGGAAGCAATTACTTGTACTTAACTGAGAATTGTATGCTACTTTGGCTGCACTCTACCAGTAATAATAATAAAAAAAGTATTTTTCCTTCTACATAAATACAGGCACAAATGTAAAAACACTAAATTAAAGTAAAAGCCCTGCATTCAAAAATGTCCCTTGTGAATGATATCATGTACAGTATTATACACTAAAATATTCCTCTACAGGCATAGATTTAACCGCTAAAAACTCATCTGTGTATCACAGTTATACATTTAAAAGTAGTTTTTTTTATGATAATAATCCCTTTAAACCTTCAAATGGCACAGGTATAGCTCTACGCCTTCTCTACAATGTGCAAATCTATGAAGTCCCTGCCTCTCCATCCACCCCTGAAGAGCTGCAGCTTGAGCACACCAGCTCACCAACAAGTTTGCTCAAACACTGTAAAACTACTCAACAACACAATGAAAAGTGGTAATACTGGAATAATTAAGCCACACATGTTCAAACCAAAAAAACTATTCTGCAGAAGAATCCTGGCACAGAAAGTCCCACCCTGCAAATAGACAGGGTTGGTTCCTTTGGTCTATTATGAATGAAGCCCTGGTTCTCTCAATCTGTGTTTTGTCATTGTCAGCTGCAGCTTGATGGCGGAAATGCTCAGTCATGGTGCTGACTGCTCATTTTGCTCATGATGGGTCTTCTAGCATATAAATACACTATATGAACATGTTAACAAGATTGAAATCCTGGTTTTGTTTTCTTAGTAAGTGGTCAAGGTAAAGAATTATATTATTCCCTGTAAGAAAGAATCATTTTTAAAACTGTTCTGTAATTTTCCAGCTTATTATTGAAACTCTCCTACATTTATTTGGCAGCTATAATTACTAGTCAGTGTAGAGATATTATGAACAAACCCAATGACCTGTGTACAGTATAACCTATGATTGATAATCAATAATCTACTTTATGTATGGTTTAGCTACAAGTAAAATGCTTGTTAGATGTTTTTGCATCACTGGTAACAGTCCTGCACGTACAAAAACTTTCAAACTGCAAATCTATTTTGCTGTTGAAAATACTGTAGCACCAATGTGTAATAAAGCATCTCTCTATTGTGTCTGTTTACACATTAAATGAAGGACTACAGTTCTGATAGCTTTTCTGCAGGCTGTACACTTACTTTTAGTTACATTGGAGAGGGGAGGGGACCTCATTTTTGAGAGCTACATGTGCATAAATTTGACATTAATCCACTTTTAGGACACATAATACAAATCAGTTGTTATGGAGTGAACTGACTGATGATGTTATGTCAGATGTGTTTATGGTGCCTCTCAGCTGACTCATCAGTAATAACCGGTGTATAAGAGAACAGGGGGCTGTCCATTCCACACAATGAGTGCATTTCTTTAAAAAGAAAAAAAAAAAAACTTAAGCACATGCTGCTGATTACTGCACACAGGAGATTACGGATTATTCTTGTGTGCTACAGTTCGGATCTGCATGTCAAGTTTGCCCAAACACCGCGCTGGTATTCACGTTTTATCATTAACAGCTTCACGTGTGTTTGCGCGGTGAAGTATTGCGCAACCAGCGGTGGGAGGTGTGTGGACACAGGAATGTCACAACGACCTGATCGATTACTCAACCTCAGTCAAATGGTTATTGGTTGTGTTGATTAATATTAATTTGAAGAACTAGGTCCTAATTGATCTCCTCACCTTCGTCGGAGAAGCGAAAGCTGCGCAGGAACAGCAGACAGTCGTGCAGACCTGCGAAAAGAGAGAAGCCGCCGCCGAAAGGGTTGTCCCTGAAGAAGAGCTCGAACACGGCGGGCTCCTGGTGCCGGCCGGCCCGCCAGTACGCGTACGCCATGGTAAACTGGTAGAGGTCGGTGAGCAGCGGCGGGACCCGCTCCCGGACGGAGCGCTCCATGAGCCCGCATGTGGTCCTGGACGGCGCTGCCATGTTATCCAAGCCCTGGTTCCAGGTTCACTGGTGCCGAGATCTCTGGGACTTGCAGTTCTCTAAAGCCTCCGACTGCTCCACCGAGGGGAGAGGTGGAAACAGAGCGGTCTGACACATGCCTCACAGGCTCCACCAGCTCTGAGGGTGTGCAGCACCGGTTTCACATGACACTTTGTACTGCCAGCATCATTTATTAGATGGTGCTCATTCATAATCTTATCCAGAAGTGTTGTTAGTTGAGATATTGAGAGTATAGACTTTACCCTAATAATTGCACATATTTTAAGTTATTTCCCAATAAAAGGAACAAAAATGAGATGCTATGCTCTTGGCAAAGTAGGGTCACCCCACTTTCTCTCTGTGCTCAGCCCATGTTCCACATTATTATTAATGCGGGTTCAGAAGAGACCAGTGGTTCTCTGTGAGCCTTAGAATTAGTCTTATTTGTGACATTTGAGAACCACTGAACTAGGACTAAAGTTATCAGTTTTAGCAACCAGTTGAAGTTCCACTGGTGGCATCTTTTAAGATATTAATACTTTATTTTTTAATAATAAATCCATTAATAATAATTCAGGTAACCAACCTTTTGAGTTGACCAGCAGAAGAGATGCAGGTGCTGCTGAGGAGAAACACTTCACCCAAAACGTCCCATAAGACTTGGCTCCCTAAATAAATATTCATAATGTAACTAAATCTGCTATTGAGTCTGTAATGCTGATAAAAACATACAGAAAGTTTAGTCCATGCCTAGTATGATGACAACTTATGGTACAGGTGATAACTCCTCCTCCACCACCTCCTCATCGCTTTCATAGGATTTGTTTTTGAGAAAGCTTCTTATATTCAAAGCCCTAGTTTTGCCTTACTGGATTAGTTAGCTATCTACCATCAGATACCAACAAGCCCTGAACAAGGTAAACCTAAAATACAGGCTACTTGTGATTTTGATCAGTGATATATTATTTTCAAGGGCTTTAATGCCTGAATGACAGATGAATAGATCCCAGGCTATTTTTTGAGACCTGGGAATATTAAACATTAGGTGGTGCAACCTTGGATGCTCATACATAACACAACTGATCTAATCTATCCTAGTTGGACAAACTTTTTCTAACAACCATATTTTCAGAAAAAGCTCCAAACTGTTCCGAGTCATGCACTTTAATTTAACTCATCTTTGAACAAGATACATTGTTTTAACTCTATGATACCCTTTCCATTTTTCAGAGAAAGTCATCCATGAAGGGCCAGTGGTTAATGACACATTAAGATCTTTCAGTGTACAATGTAAAGACTAGCAAGGGCTGTACATTAGCAGAAGTTCTCAGAATTAAAGACCCCTCACTGTTTGTTAGAAGCAGTTTAAAGCCAATTACAACTTGTAAACATGTAGTTCAAATTACATCAATCATAACAGCATCATACTTTAACTACAGTGTTCCTCTTCATCTGCTAATTCAATACAACAGGTATCAAATAAATGTAGCAAACCTTTACAAAGTGCAAATACTGAAGTTAATCTTTTTTTATTCAAGCCCAAATATCACTCCAAAATGTGACCAAAACACACTTCAGCAGCCAGTGCTTGTAATGTTATGAACCATTTATCAATAAATACTGTTAGATTTTGTATTTTCTATCAATGCAATCATATCAATCTGTGTATTTAATGTATTTGCTGCAACTGATATGTAACCTAGCAATAAAGAAACTGTAGTTATTTTTTTTATATAAATATAAGATATAGCAATACCTTTTTAGATATATCTATTTGTGCCTAATGTATCAAAAAAGTACTTGCTCATCTTTAGTACATTTGATACATTAACCCACATGTAAATCTTTCAGACTCCACCTTGAAGAGATCTTTTGATATTCTGGATAATTTTACCTCTTCCTGACCCTGAATGGGATGTAAATGAAATTGACTCTGAGGGTAAAATCACTCTTTGTCTGAGCTGCACCTAAAGCAAGATGACAAAAGCAGACACTGCTCCCAATTCATTAGTGAATTTGATGGTTCACTTCTCACGTGAGACTGGAGGACATGATTGTTCAGGCTTAAATCACTACGGATCTGACTGGGATCACAGCTGTGAGGCCTTAACACAGTGGAGTCCAGTTGGCAGCTGATAGTGTATTGTGGGCATTTCACAGAATAACATACACCAGTGACCTGTTGTGGACATTATCCCAGTTCTCCGTGCTGCCCGCTGCCCTCCTCTGCTGTGGGGAAGCATCCTGCGAGCTCATTGGTCAGTGTGTGCTTCTGTCCTTTCCAGAGAAAGTGTGTAGGCTGTCCTGATTGGCCACCTTCATGCTCATAAACAAAGAACGGGCTGAGCTCGATGGCCAGAGCCGACCGGACCAGGCCAACCCCTCCTGAACCCTCTGAGCAGGGGTGATAAACTCGCCCGCTGACAGGATGCATGAACAGCGCTTCCGGGCGGAACGGGTCGGAGAGCTTTTCCGCACCGCCGCAGTACGACAGCAGTTCTTGCTCTCCCACGATTCCCTGCGGCCCTGTGGGGCTCTGCAGCAGGTGGGTGAACACCACAGGTCGGTCATCGCAGCGCACAAAGTTTCTCTCCCTGCCACACAGAGATAGGAAGGGGAAGTCCTCCTCATAACGCCCGCTCTGATTGAAACGCAGCCGATTAAAGAAGAAGACCAGGAACTGTTTGTCTGGTGAGAAAGAAACAGATGACACAGAACCACTGAGCAATAAAACAGCAGAATGAAATATTTGGTTCAGGTGCACAAAACACTGAAAGTTTTAGCAGTGGCATTACAATAAAAGCCTGTTTTCAGTAGTAGTAATACTTTGTAATTAAAAGAAAACCTAAAATATTATATAATATATAATAATATAAAATGTTGCTGTGACTATTGTTGCTGAGGTTGTGTTGGTGTTGTTGTTGTTGCTGGTGCAGCAATTTCCCTGAGGTTTCCACCAAAGGGATCAATAAAGTTCTATTCTATTCTACATATTGAAATATTACAATTCTACAGGTACTATATTTAGTTTTTTGCAACCATAACCTAGTAAGGTCATATTATATCTAATGTTGTACTATAAATGATCATATCAGTGCAATAAACTAACAGAATTCTATTATGAAATTAACTAATAACTACAAGTACATCCAACATAATCTCATCGTCATCCCGGAGGCCACCACAGGTCTCAGAAATCAAGTTCATTCAAAAGACAGTTTTCATGCCACTAGCTGACCAAGGCACACAACAGACCTCAAAGTGTTAACAGAAGTTGAGGTTCAATTAGTTGCTTCCAGCTGTTAGAAGGAGTTTTTTTTTCTCTGAGTTTACCACAGCAGGATCCATGTGAACGTCTGCAAAGCAGAAAGTTGCATGTTTTTCTGTGCAACACAACACAGCACTAACTTTGCTAAATAAATCATGTGACATGAAGCCAGAATTCATCAAGATCTAACACAGTATGTGACACTGTGTACATTTGTTCACCTCAGACTAGTGAACTTTTACACAGAGTCAGAGTTTATCAGCTGCAGATAAATCATTAGTCACATAGCTGAATCCTAAACCTTATTACAGCTGAATATCATTTTACCGTGAAAGTTTGATCTGCTTGCTAAAGTCAAAATAGGCTTCTGGTTTTTGTGTGCCATGCTAAGATTTTCAGAGGGCCCCATCCAGCCAGCCCTATGACTAACTTCTACACACATCACTAGTAGTCAGGTAGACTAAACATCATTAATGAAGAACCTTCTGTGTTGTGTGTTTTCATGTTTACCTTTAAAGCAGGTGACAAAGTTTTTCACTTTAGTGTCATCGAGGAAAAGCTGCAAGTAGAGCACAGTCAGCATAGTGTCAGGCCAACAGAAGGATCTAGGTCATATTTTGAAGGGTTGGTTGTGTGTCAGTTTAAATTCTCACCTGTCCCTGATGGTCGATATAGTAGAAGTATTCCCGGATGCGTGGTTCAGGGCTCTGGCCCTGGACGTATGTAGCGGTGCTTCTGAAGGCGGTGAAGCCGACAGGCAGGCAGCGCAGAGCGGTCAGAGCTCTGCAGCTGAGAGCCGCCGTCCGGAGGAACAACATGACCGCGGAGGGTAAAATGTGTTCCAGATTAAACAAGGAGCCACAGAGGACGGTGTGTCCAAATGACAACCACAGGAGTTCTGTTTGTTAGAAGATGTTACACAACTCCGTCTGTGTCCTCATGTTATTGTTTACTGTTGCAGAGACCCGGAAGAGTTTGACCGGTGCACCATCGTCATGTGTTACCTGCTGCCCCCTGCTGGACTTTAAACATACACGTGTTTCACACAGTAATACTTCGATGTACAATAATTTGAGATAGTCAGAATTTAAGACAGTGCAAGTCCCCCCCCCCCCCAAAAAAAACAAATTTAAAAATTAAAAATTAAAAAATAAAATGAAATAAAAAATTCATCAAAGCAATAATACATTTGAAAAAATAATAAATAGTGTACCTCTACGGTTATGAACAAATATGTACATGCACTTGTAAAGTGCAGCAGATGTAGTCGATTGTAATCACTCAAAAGTTCAAGCCATTAGAAAATGTCATTAACACAACTATCTACATCACCAAAACTGATAATTCAAGTTGCTGTGTGTATATTTTTGATCATGCAGTAGTTGTCATATGTCCAAGAGATGTGTAAAAAAAATATTATAGAACTAAAATGCACAATTGTTTTTTGTGACAAAGACATTTAAATCATTCCATTAAAGACATTTAAGAGCTGTAGGAGTCATTGGAGAGTCAATACTACCATGATATACATGGTCTTTACAAGTGTGTATAAACTTTTGTTTGGTGTCCTTATTTTTTAAATAATATATTAAACATATTTAAATTCTAGAGAAAAATCTAACTTTAGTACAGCTTACAATCCATGAAAACAGCATGAAAAATATAAAATTAAACAGACATAAATATAGAATTGAATTAGGTTCTTGTTTCCATCTTTGTAATTGTTCTTTTTGTTGTTAACAAGCCTTGTGTCATTATTAACAATCAATCGATCTTTAATACCTTTTATGTATGAATGTCTACTCTTGATTACAATGAGTTGTGTACATGCTGTCTGTCCCTCCAGCTTAAAGCCTTTAAGAAATTATAAGAAAAATACACTATATCTATTCAGAAACTCCCCAAAAGCATTTCAGACTTGGTTAAGTAAGTGGACATCCATCCATTATCCATTATCTTAATGCTCAGTAGGGTCGCAGTGGGGCTGGAGTCTATCCAAGCTGGGGACACCCTGGACTGGTTGCCAGTCTAACTCATTAAACAAAGTGTTTAATGTTTAAACATGCCTTAATTTGCATACATTTCTAGACCAGAAATTTGAACATTGAATAAACCACCTTCAAAATGTTTTGTTTAATTTTGTAGACATATTAGAGTTAAAGGTTTCAACAGACAGGAGGGAAAATACTGTCAATATTAAAAAAAAAAAAACAAAAAAAAAAACAACCACTTAGTCTTGTTTTTAGGAATAATAAAATCTCCCGAGCTGATTACTTACTTCAAGGTGATTATCTTTTATCCATTTCAATCCATTATCTATACACCGCTTAATCCTCACTAGGGTCGTAGGGGGCTGGAGTCTATCCCAGCCGACTTAGGGCGAAGTCAGGAGACACCCTGGACAGGTCGCCAGTCTATCACAGGGCCACACTTAGACAACCAAGCACACTCACATTCACACCTACGGACAATTTAGAATCACCAATAAACTTCAACATGTTTTTGGACTGTGTGGGAGGAAGCCGGAGAACCCGGAGAGAACCCACGCTGCACGGGGAGAACATGCAAACTCCACGCAGAAAGACTCCGGTGCCCCCACCGGGACGCAAACCAGCAACCTTCTAGCTGCGAGGTAACAGTCCTACCAACTGTGCCACCTTGCAGCCCAATTATCTTTTATATTGCAAATTTTCTAACATGTCATGCTGCAATATGGAAATTAGATATTAGCACTACAAATATGCAAAAATTTGCATAAATGTCACATAGACAATATGTGGTGAAATATATGCCTAAATTAGTATTTTGGATGTTTCCTTTCCACTAAAAGAAAGCCACCGGTTTGCGTCCTGGTGAGGAAACCATGGTCCTTCTGCATGGAATTTGCACGTTCTCCCTGTGAATCTGGTTGTCTGTCTGTAAGTGTAGCCCTGGAATAGACTGGCGACCTGTCCAGAGTGTCCCTTGCCTTCACGCTAAGGGATAGGTTCCAGCCCCCACCCACGACCCTAGTGAGGATTAAGCGGTGTATAGATAATGGATGGATGGATGTAGTCTCTCATCTTAAACAAGGTCCCTGTGCCTGTCTGGAAAATACTGTATGTTGTAGGTCAAACGTCAACTGCCTATTATTTTAATGAGCAATCAATTTGCTGAATATCTGCTGAATAAATTGTTTAATCATTTTGTCCATATAATTTTGAGAATAGTGGAGGAAATACCTGTAATTTTGTAAGATTGCTTGTTTGAGTTGACTGAAAGAGCAAAACCCACAGATATTCAGTGTTAATTTAGATATGACAGAGAAAACTATGAAATCCTCACATTGCAGAAGTTAAAGCTGCAGATCACTCATGGCTAAAATGTTCAATCAACAAATAAAAGTCTGCTGATCAAATAGCTGATTACTGTAATAGCTGTTGCAGCTCTAGTTTGTAGTTGTGGTGTACCAGGCCTCTTCAGCAAGACTGAAGAAAATGGTAAATATGTATTCATGAGACATAAACAGTGTGAGAGCAGTCAACACATTGTAGGCGACAACTTCTGTGACAGTTCATTCCAAGCAAAGATATACTGTTGAGTGAACACAAAAAGGCTCTTCAGGGAGCTTCATGTAAATCTCTGTCCTCATAAAAGAAGCACATCAACAACATGCCTGCAGAGACACTGCAGCTCGTGTTAAAAGGCCAACACCCCCTAAAAAACAGAGTGCAAACAGAGGCTTCTTTGGCTTCACAGAGGGGACTGACATGGACAAAGCGGCTGATTCAGACAGGCTGCTAATGACTTGAACTCTCTCCAGATTTCTCTCTGTAGTGTCTCCCTACACTACAGAGAGGCTACAGCTGTGGCCAGAGGACAGCTCGGCTGCCTACCTGCGGCTCTCTCCTCCCCTCCGCCTCCTTTTCCGGGTAGGGTGGAGTCCTTTCTACCTGGACTCTGACAACACACGAGAGAATGATTTACTGATTCACTAATGACATTGTAGTCGGACTAAACAGCGTTTTCATCGACCTCACAGTAAGTTTAACTTTGATAACGGTGGTTAATCAATTGTTTTAGCTGATTTGCTAACGTACCTATTAAGCTAACCACCTGTTCTTGTGGTTTTGGCTGCTTTTCAAGCTACAGACCTGCTCCTCTGCTACTTGACGCCAAGTGTGGAAAGTTTCCTCATTGTGATACGTTTGTGTTTGGTTAATATAGTTATTTGTTCATTAGAACGCGGTATTTGAAGAGGATTATGCTTTACGTTTACGTTACTAAATATTGTGACGTAACTTCCGTCAACTTCAGGTTTTTATACGTCAAGGATCTGTTAAATGCTAAGACAATATACCTATAATGCGTTTAGCAGAAGCGCCATTCCTTCTTATAATGTCTCGGACAGTTTTTTGTTTTTTTTCAATCACGGTCGAAGGTCGTTTTGTGTTAAAAGGTGTTACTTGTGTCAGCAGGTATGAGCCATCCGCCCCGTTCAAACCGGGGACACCGGGAGAGAAACGGAGACCACCGGCAGCCCCGCGATGACCGGCGCTCATCTCCTGACAGGTGCTCGGTCTTCTGCAGTAGCTTTATTCTAAACCGTATTCAAAGTACATCTGTGACTTTCCTGCGCAAAGGATGAATTACGAACTGGGTCAATGTGCCCCAGAAGCTCCGTACATGTTGGTCCACATGTACACAACATGTTTATTCGCTCATTTGTTTTATTCAGCTACCATAGTTTTCCCAGACCAGCCATCGAAACCCCCAAAACTATGTGGAGATTTATATTTCAAAACTAGAAGAGGCTTATATTTGACAAACTGGTACCAGACAGTTCCTGGGATTTTTTTGCTTTTTATAAAAATCCTGAAACAATTAGTTATTAAAATAAAAATTTACTGTCCAGCAGCTAATTAACTAGAGGTGGGTTTTTACAATGCAAGGATCTGGTGGTTCTGTTAGGTCCACTTAGAGGAAGTCAATACAAAATTGTTCCCAGTGATCATCTTCATGTGATCAGGAAACATGTTTATCGTAGTGGCCTCTTCGACACTGACAGCCTCCATCCATGTGGCATAAGGGCTCACTGAATGTTTGGATGATTGCAGGGTTTAAATCAGAATTTGTGAAGGCGAGTCATGTCACAGATGGAAGACAGTAGAAATAGGAACTATTTCTAGGAAGTAGTTGCAGTAAAAACTACATATTGAGTTCAGTGAATTGAGTAGCAGTTGTTTTTTTTTTAGAAGAGATGTTCTTCCGAATTTTACAAGTGCAATTTCTTAAGCTAAAAAACTGAACTCCTTTCACCTCTACTTTTTAACCATCAACTGTAACTGCTTTGTTTCCAAGGATTTCACTGTAGAAACATCACATATATGAATAACGACTCAGCTGGTTGCTTTTAGATAACATTTAGGTTAATTAGAAGACATTGTTGGTGTCTGTCATGTTACCATAGAGCGGGGGCTCGTAAGGGCCTACCAACAAATTTCACAGTGCCCCTCACAAGATGAATCCAGCCAAGACTACCGTATTATTTTAAGGTGTTTGTACCAAAGCTTGGCTACAAACCAGGCAGAGCAACCCCTTGTAATACTTGATGTGGGAATGGATGACCAGACCATTTACCATTTACACTGGGGACAGAGAAGATGGCTTGAGAGAGCCGACCTTTTTTTTTCTCACTATTTGACAATAAATCAGACTAAACTTTTCCTGCTTTAGGTCAGTTAGAATTACCAAAATTATTTCTATTTGCTAAATGTCAGAATAATGAGAGGGAGAGAGAGAATTTTTTGAGAGAATGTTTTATTACTTTCTTTAAAGTCAGAAGTTTACATACATTTCCTTAGCATTGCCTTTAAACTGTATGACTTGGGTCAAACATTTTGGGTTTCCTTCCACAAGCTTCTCACAATAGTTTGATAGAATTCTGGTCCATTTCTCCTGACAGAACTGGTGGAACTGAGTCAGGTTTGTAAGCTGCCTTGCTTCACACATCTTTTCAGCTCTGCCCACAAATTTTCTACAGGATTGAGATCAGGGTTTTGTGATGGCCACTCCACAACATTGACTCTGTTGTCCTGAAGCCTCTTTGTAACTAATCTGGCGGTGTGCTTAGGGTCATTGTCCATTTGGAAGACCCATTTGCGCCCAGGTTTTAACTTCCTGCCTGATGTCTTGAGATGTTGCATCAATATTTCCACATAATCTTCTTTCCTCGTGATGTCATCTAAGTACACCAGTCCCTCCTGCAAAAATTAAGGTCATTGTCCCTGTGGGCAAACTGTAATCTGGCTTTATGTTTCTTTTGGAGTAATGTCTTCCTCCTCTCTGAGTAGCCTTTCAGCCCATGTCGGTAGAGGATTCGTTTCACTGTGGATAATGACACTCTCTTACCAGCTTCAGCAGCATCTTCACAAGGTCTTTTGCTTTTGTTCTGGGGTTGATGCGCACATTTCGCATCAAAACACTTCATCTCTGGGACACAGAACCTGTCTCCTTCCTGAGCAGTATGATGGCTGGACATTCCCATGGTGTTTGTACTTGCATAGAATTAATTGAACAGATGAACGTGGAACCTTCAGGCATCTGGAAATTGTACCCAGGATGAACCAGACTTGTGGAGGTCCACAATTGTCTTCCCGATATCTTGGCTGATTTGTTTAGATTTTCCATGCTGTCACAAAAGGAAACAGTGTGTTTGAGATGTGCTTTAAAATACATCCACAGGTGTGCCTCCAGTTAACTCAAATGTTGTCAATTAACCTATCAGAAGCTTCCAAAGCTGTGACATCATCATCTGGGCTTTCCCCAAATAGTCTGAAGGCATAGTGATCTTAGTGTATGTAAACTTCTGACTTTGAAGAAAGTAGCAAAACATTCTCTAAAATATTGACTCTCTCATTATTCTGGAGTTTAGCAAATATAAATAATTTTGGTAATCCTAACTGATCTATAACAAGAAAGGTTTAGTCTGATTTAATGTCAGACAGTGAAAACAAAAGGTTATATGTCTTTTTATACAGTGTATGTGAACTTCTGGTTTCAACTGTACCTTTATCAACCAAAAGGAGAAGTTCAGTTGCCTTCTACTGAAGCACTTAGGATTACCATGATCTGAATTACTGAAAAGCTGCACAGATCTATTTATTTGATTTGAATGGGTTTACAATACTTTAATAGCATTTGAAGTCACTGAAATGACAAATGGGCTTTACCATTTCATTTTAGGGAATTCCTGTCATATTGTGCTCAAAATAAAAACAAGCAGTACCAAGTATCCACATTTATGTCTAAAATATTGTGGAACACAACCTAAAAGAATATGTGCTTGACAATTTTCTTTATCATCTTATGTTTTTCTGTTGCAGGTCCTCCTCCCGACCTCCATACTATCCTGAGGAAGCCGACTACCCTCCCAAGCATGTGCGGGAGGTCCCTCGGGTGGAGCACCATGAATCCAAATGCACCAATGTATGCTCCAGGAGAGGTACGTCAGGATCACAGTGGAAGTATCTGGGTTAAATAAAATGAAAGCTCTTCTAATAGAAGCTGCTGTGTCACAGGGCGGACTTTGGTTTCAGTGTAGTTCATTCCTTCCTCCTTGTATGAATACTGGACCAACCGGTTTTCTGCTGTTTACTGCCTCTGTTCTCAAAGTTTAGGCAGAGTAACACCATCCACTGGAGGGGGAGGGAGTCGAAAACGTGATACCTGAGTGTATCAGCCTAATGATATGTCATAAGAGTTGATTCTGCTAAGAGTGTTAATAAAGCCACATCTGATGTAGCACTGAAGTGGGAAGCCAGTGGAGAGGAATTTCACAATAACTTTAATAAACAATGAATCATTTATTAAGGAAAATAAACCACATATTATAGATTAAACAATTACTCTGTTCAACAATTGCAGGACTCCAGACAGTTTTTTTCCATTACCAACTTTCTCACTAGGTTTCACTCTGTTTCTGCAGTGCCCTCAAACAAGTGTGCAACCACAATTTTGTTTAAAAAGAGCCAAATCAAGCGCTCTAATGTCGCTTTATTGAAGTTGAAACCAAGTTATTTTGTCTACATGGGCTATTTTATACAAGCGCAGTGCAGTGCAACTAAACGTCAGTATTGTAATCCATTATGTATATTCATTTGTGGGAAGCCAAAATCACTGATTAATAATCAATTAGTTTGTCAGCCCAAGCCCAACAAGCCATTGTGTTTAAATGTAGTACCTTTTCTTCTTTACTTGATCAGTTAATATCTCCCTGCAGACTGTGATGTCATTATCAGGTGTGTCAGTTTCAGGACCTCTCCCTCTCCATCAGCCTCCTCTTCTCTCTCCCCCCATTTAGTTTTTGAAAAAAAAAAAAATCAGCTTTAGAACAGTTCATCTTTTGACCATTGTCAGGCAGGGAGAGACTGACTGAGTGAGTAAGCAAGTCAAATTTTCAACCACTATGGCTAAACCAGGAGCAACACATTATGTTTTAACTCACACTCGAGAAATAGTCTCATTTGCAACAATTTTGGTTGCAGTCTGGAATCTGAAGTGGAAAGATAATCATTGTTGCCACCTGGCAAATATTCACACCGGGTTAAAAAAAAGTGATGAAGCAAAACTTTGTGTAATTGTGTTTAGATTATTTACAAGATTTATCAGGATTGAAAATAATCATTGATTTCCTGTTTTATGTGCTGACAAGGCATCGTGCTGATCTGCGCTGTGCTGACCAACGCCCTGGTTCTGATCTGTGTGGTCGCAGCTCAGATGGTCACATCAGGCCTGTCCTCAGCTGCCGGGCTGGGCGGCTTCAACATCAACTCCCAGTTCAACCTTCAGGGCACTGAGCTGCAGCAGGTACGAGAACTGGACATGCAGTATAGCCAGATGAGGGCGCCTGGCATCTACGGCGGTGTCTCCTTCAGCCTCACCTTTGGGGTCTTGTCGCTGTTGTTTGTGGTTGCCGGAACCAAACCTCCACACCTGATGTCACGGAAGCTCCTATTTGGAGCACTGGTGTTTCAGGCGGTGGGCGCAGTGGTCTATGTGGTGGCTGTTGGCCTCTACCTGCACTTCGTGATCAGGGTCAACTCCACTGATGTGTGTAAGCAGCGGGAGAGGATCTATGCACGTAACGGCTACACCTGGATGAACTGCGATGTGAGTGGGGCGGATGCAGCAGTGGCTCTGTTTGGGCTCATCACTGCCATCCTGTACACCGCTGGCACCGTGCTCACAGTCCAGACCATCCGACGAGTGAAACACTATCTGCAGGAGCGGAAACGTAGAGAGGCTGAGAGACAGCAGGCTCGACCCCGCAATCAGAGAGCCCCACTGCGGGCTGACACCACCGCTGTGTGAGCGACTCATGGGCAGGGACATCGGCAGCCTTAGCTCGCTGCGTTTGTGTCAGACTTTGGTTTTCTGATGTAAAGCTGGTTTACTTTTTACAGATTACCTATGCAAGGCTGACTTGCTCTGAAGCAGGCTCAGTTCAGAGAATCGGGTCAAAATGTGACAGACTACTGACCAGACAAGTCATGAGAAAACTTAATTCCTGCATTGCCCTCTTGACATGGACACCAATACTGTTTTTACAATTAAGGGACATGTGTTTTTGTGCTACATAGCCACTGAGAGGCCAGATGAATATTTTTGTCCGTGCTACGTCCCAAAATCGGAAGCTCAGACTCCCACGAGTGGTTGCTAATATAAAGATTAAAACCTGTGGAGGCTTCTTAACAAAGTTCTCTGCACTGTTTCCTAATTCCCTGTAGCTGTGATCATGACTAAAGCTGTGACACATTTTTAAAGCTATTCATCCTCTGAAGAAAGAAGATCTAATGCAGAGAGTCTGGTTTTGTGGTGCTGTCTCTGCTGATACTAACTCAGTAGGACCTCTCAAGAGCAACCACAGCTGCATTAGACATCTGTAGCCCACATGATACCCACAGCTTCAGTCCCAGCCGTGTACAGCTGTAGACAGAGTGGCTGCAAACTGGCAGAGCAGGATCTTTTTCCAATAATTGGGGAAATGCAATAAATATTGCAAGGTAATGCAAAAGTTTCCTATGGTTCAGTACCAAGATTATTATGTCAAATATAGCAGAAACATTTTTGCACAAGTGTTTGTCTGCACTGGGATAAAAACAGGACCTCTATTACTGTTTAACACTATAATTAGTGATGACTTTAGCTGCCTATTATTCAGCCCTGACAGTGTCGCTGTAGCAACTCAGGGTTTCATGTGGCTGTGAATATTAATGTTTTACACTCATCGGTGAGATGAAGAGTGGAAATAAAAAGCAGACGCACAGCTGCTGTTTATCACAAAGACAAATCCACACACTATTAATCAGCTCATGAAATTAGAAATGCAATGTAATGTTTTGGCCTTTTATCTTTTATACCAATAACGTCTATACTTTGACCTCACTAAGACAGTTTTTATGTGTTATAAATTCCAGTCATGTGTTATCTTGTTTGTCCCTTTTTGTTCCTGCAGTAACCCCACATATGCCAAAGTAAACATGAGTGGAGTTAACTGAACCAGTGCATGAGCTCTGATACTGGCCATCCAGGATCTTCAGTCTTAGCTTTAATGAAGGACTGGAACTGTATGTTTGTTGGTTGAGACGGAGTTATGTAAATGTTTTTTATGGGTTATTAATGAATGTTTTTGTATCAAAGTTTGACTTAATATTGCAAAGTTTTATCTACTCAAATTAAATGTAATTCAATTTAAAGACTGTTGTTTATTTACAACTGCAGCCAGCAGGGGGAGTCAGGACACCACACAGCTCCTGTCCTGCTGATGTGGTGGCCCTCTGTCTTCTCTGAAGTGGCTTCCTGCCAGCCATGACATCACCACTGTCACACAATGGACCACACATACACAAAGGACACAGCAGTGATGTAACTGTTCAGTCAAGACTTAATTACAAACAAAAGAAATTCTCCAGAGTGATGTAATTACCCGACTTCTAAACTTACCATTTCAGATAACAAAGCAGTGATTGTACCACAGCAGCACAAACAACGCGACAGGGCAAGTTTGTGGCTTGTTGTTGCACCGTTAAGCTTGTACATTTTGCTTTTTAAGATCGTACAGGGGCCACTTCCTGGAAATTGACAAACACGTTGTGTGATGCTTTTTTGATTTCTTGTTACGAGGTTTGACATGTCTAAGGTTTCTGCTGTAGACTTAATGCAGTTTAAAAGAGAAAATGGCAGAAACTAGTGATTTCAGTTTTATATGTTCATATGACAGTATTATCAGCTAAATCTGGAGCTCAAGTTGTTATCTGATTGACAGAAAATTAATAGGATAACCAGTATTCTCTTGTCCCAGTTTGTCAACTGCAATGAGTTGTGGTTTTTCTTTCGTAAATTTGACAGGAAACTTTACATTTGAGTGTTTAAAGCTAAGATCTTTTTCTTTGGTAGAAAAAGATCATGAAAATAATTAATTTTAGTTCTAGATGAATGTGATGATTAAATGATTTGGTGCATAAAGTGTGACAAAATAAAATAAAATGCACAGAAACCTTTCCTAAATCTGGATTTCTCCACTCTCCAAATTGCTCATTTCATCTGACCAACAGTCCATATTTCCAGAAAGATTCAGTTTGTTTATATGAAATTGACGAAGCAGTAAAGACTAAAGAAGATGAGATCACGAAACAGCTGGTATCTTTTCTTGTAAAAGGACGTCTAATTTTGAACAAATTAATTTTCTGTCCTTCTATCAACTAATTATTTAATCTCTAGAAATACACAACTTCAGTTTTAGAAGTATTTGGAAAAAAAAAAAAGGTATTATCCTACATACTTTTATAATAGGTATCGTTGTTTTCTATAATGTTTTATTGCTTTGAGCACATTTTCACCATGCTTGGCAAGAGCAGAAATTTCAGAAGCAGAAATCTCAAATTCTTGTGGCTTAATACCAAAACTGTCTCCCTGGCTACTTATCACGAGGTTTGTATATTTTTGTAATTATTGTGATCCTCCACCCCTCCTCAATAAGTCCAAGTCAACATGTTGTGGTTATCTGAAAACTTTAATTTATTATATAGCAAAAGTAGCTCTCTTGTGCGGTTTGCCATTGCCAAGAAGTCTGTAACACTGTTCTGAGAACATTCATTGAGCTGGTAATAACTGTGATCCCTCCTTATTAGCATTTCCTCACCACTGCAGCACCACTCTGGACTCCACACACCCCGAAAACACAAACCTGGAATATCAGCCTTCAGAAATAATCATCTTTTCTCTCAGAGAACATTAGTACGCTTCAGTGACTAGGTCACTTTAAAGTATTAAACTCCTAGGAGTTAGTTAAACAGTTTTACTAACTCCAACAACTGTAAGGCCATCAGCCACGACCAACAGGGGAAATTTCTGCTATAACACAAAAACAGAGTGGTCCGAATCTCTAAGTACCATTGAACATAGAATTAATCTCAAAAGTCTAATAAAAAGCAGTCAAAGTGCTTCTTCAAATTAAAGATATGGTAAAATCAATTACATGTGAAGAATTAACATAAATTGTTATAAAAATTGCATTGCGTTTCAAGGGGCGTCAGGTTAACAGTAGAAAATAAATCAAATAACAAAAAAATATAAGAAAACAGTCTGTGGTCCATAAGCACATTCAGAATACTCTGAGATTTTGGAGCGAACTTAATGCCAAGCAGATTCTATAGTTCTTCATCCCTGAAACTCACTACATCTGAGATCACGGATGAAGGAGACTGACGCCAGCTGTTGTGGTGGGTGGGTGGGAAGCATTCAGAGGGGCGTGACAAAATAGTCTGCAGGTTTCTGGTAGCTGTGCTGGTTGTGTGTCTGCATCTGCTCTTGCTGCTGCTGGATGATCTGCCGGACTTCCTCCTCCAGCTCTGGCGGGATGATGAGCTGGTCGTCGGGGTCCGGCTGGGCGGGAGCATTGAAGTAGCCTCCCTGCTTCCTGACAGGGGCATCCGCTGCCTCCTCGATGAGGTCCTGGTTCCTGCCTTGGCAGGCCACAGAACCGTTAGCTCGGGCTCTACGACCCAGAGTCCCCATTCGAGCGTCTCCACTGAGGCAAGGGGAGGAAGGAGGGACGGGGGAAGAGGAAGGGGAGGTGAAGGCAGGAGGTAAAGGCTCATTACGCAACGTGGCGGGAAGAGGGTTGTTTGTGCTTATATTATGAGTGTGAGTGCAGTCGTGGCGGTGCAGACAGTGGACGTCAGCCTCCACTTCCACACGGCTGCCATTGGAAAAGACACCAGCGATGGGCTCCTCATCTTCGCTGTCAAGCCCGTTGTCAGACAGAGCTCCAGAAAACTGTCTTTGGAAGCCTCCACCCCCACAGGTGGGTCTCCGCACACCAGCTCTACCCGGGGGGTTCAGGTGGGAGGCGAGGGGCTCGGTCTGAGGAGGTGGCTCCTCTGAGGACGCTGTGGATCCCACCTCGCTGCTCATTTCAGAAGTGCTGAACTCGCTGCTCAGCTCGCTTACAGTTCCTGAGGACGCAGGCGGCAGTGGTATACCACCATCACCACTCGCTGAGTAAGGATGTGTGCTAGGGTGAGCGCCGGGGCCGGGGCTGGGTGGGGGAGGCGGCGGTTCGCAGAAACAGCAGCAGTCTTCGGTGATACTCAGCTGCACGACGACAGCGCTGAGGCTGTCGGAGCAGCCGTAGCTCTGAGCCAGAGTCACCAGCTTCTTAGCAGCAGCCAGAGCATCTGGTAAGTTCCTGACTGCTTCGACTGCCTCGCTGGGAGACAACATGTCCCACAATCCCCGGCTGCCCAGGACAAAAAACTCGTCCTGCGGGGTGAGCGCCACTGTAGAGATGTGGGGGCAGGGAGTCACAGATGGGCAGAGGAAGGAGTAACCCATAATTCTGGTGGAGTCGGTTACACCACTGACTTTATTATCCTATAGTGGAGGAGAAAAAAAAGCTCAGTTATGCTTTTTTTTTTTTTGACAAAACTTGATGTTAATGTTGAAGTTTGTTATCAGTTAGGACAGCGGAAACAGAATCCAGCAACTATGTTAGCATCAAACTATTAAACAGATTATAATTGACTGGTTTCACATTCTAAATAGTTAAGATTCCTAATTTTTTGCTGTTTTATAGAATTTCATTTTAGCTATTTTAGGCTTCATATTGTTGGTCTTACAAAATGAAAATACTGAAGATATCAATGTGAGACTGGGATATTTGAGTTTAACTTTGCACTTGTATATAAAAATGATTGATGCCACTTGCAGCCCTAGTCTATTTAACAATCACTGACAATATCAGTTTATTTTAAATTGCTTTTTCAATTCTAGTTCAGAAATTCTAAAAATCAGTGTACCGTGTCTTCAAATTGATTACTTTGTCTGACCAACAGTCCAAAATCCAAAGATATTGAGTTTACAAAGCATTTTTGCTAAATTAGAATTCACCTTTATTCAAAATATTAATTTACTTCAGCAAATCTATTAATCGAGTCATAGTTTCATGTCGCACAAGTAACATGACTTAGCAGTCTGTTGTTACCTCAGTAATGATAGCGTTATGCTGTCGAACCCTCTGGTACTCTGGCTCCTCTTTGACAGTGTGGATGGTGGAGAGTTGCATAGCTTTGCCGTCTCGACACAGAACGGCCTGACACCTTCCAACATTGGCTGCCTTCAGAGTGAAGCAGCTGCCGTGTTCACCGGGAGCCACTGGGTCGTGTCTGATGTGACATAACGCTGCTGAACCGCCCATCCTCTGACCGGCTGTGCCCAGTTTCCTGCAGGAAGCGAAACACAGAAATTGTGCATTCACAAAAGTGTTTATGATCACAGACCCTTCAGTGATCTGAGGCTGTTTCCTTCTGAATCAGGCATATTTTTTAACCCTTTGAACCCCCAATCGTTTCTGGGTACTTGTCACTGTGATATAAAGTCCAGCACTTCTTGGGAAACAGCACAACCATGGATAGAAGTATAGAACTCTTAAAAATGTCCTTTGTGCAGCATAACAAAATAATAAGGCTATAAATCACACAAAAAATAAACAATGAAAAATGATTATATCTGAATATTTACTTTACAAAAAGTGAAAAAACCTGGAATGAACAAGAACAATATTTTGACGTGACTGTCACCACTGAGTAACTTGGAGTCATGGTTGCACCAAGAACCCCAGAACTATTACAGAATATGTTGCAAACTGTTTATTTTTGCCAACTGTTAAATGAGACATGTAGAATATAAAATATTGAAATATGCAATATCACAATCTCAAGCTTATATTTGTTTGGCTCTCTGACAGAATGGCATGTTACACCTAAGTGCAACTATTTGTGGCTTCTTTCTGTTTTAACAGTGTATATAATAAATGGTGCCATTTTGGCAATTTTGGCAATTTTTAAAAAGTTAACATGGCTTTTAAAACCACTGGGAGGGTTTTAGAGAGTTATGGTGTGTGTTTACCTTTGCATGGTGAGGAAAGTGTTGGTCATGTAGTCTTCCTGCCTCTGACCCCTGTGAAGCTCCTCTGCTAGCACGTCTCCCATTGTGCACTGCAGCAGGTAAGGTACTTCAACGTTCCTGTCTCCGTCAAAAACTCCGTACAGAGCTTCACGAATCCCGCAGAAGCTGTCGAGGGCCAGCGCAGCCACACACAGCCTAAAAATGAGATCCACAAGTTAGCAACTTAGAATAAAAACAGTGCAGCAACACAAATTAGACTGCCTACATTGGCAATAACACATCTTAATGCTTCTGCAGTTGACCCAGAAAACAGCAAAACAAAAAAACACAAAAAAAAACAGCTAACACTTTATTGTTATAGGTCAGCCTCTGATCAGAATTCTGCTGTCGAGGCTAAAAAACAGCAATTATCATGCCTTTACATTTTTACTTAAATACAATAAATGTGTTTCTTTTTTACATATTTAAAAATACATATTTTTTACTATACTAAGTAAAAAATGCCAGTGACCACATAGATAGAAAATGAAAGCAAGAGGAAAAGACTGACTTGTTTTTGACTCCAGAGGCCTCTGTGTAGCCGTGACTCCAGACTGCAGGGGCCCCATGACTCTCATTCACACATGGAGCTGAGGGAGAAGGATCCACCCTGAAACATCGGATATTACTGCAAAAAAATGCAGGAAAAAAGAGGCAAGAAGGTCAGACAGTCAGTTTTGCATTTGAAAGTTTCCGCTGTGTTTATGCTTGAGGGCCATACTTGAGGAGTTCCAAGCTCTTGTGGTCGAGGTTGAGTCGAGGGTTTCCTGTGAGGTCGAGCTCCTGAAGTTTCGGAGGAAGCACCTCTGGCAGAGTCACCTCAGTCAGCTCATTGCAGCTCAGATCAACACACTGAGGAAGATACAGAGCAAGAGTTGAGAATCTCTGTGTGCCTCACAATTCTATTCAAATGCTGTGTTTGGAACAGCTTCAGTTTTTGATTTGACTCCCTTTCTTACTGTTTGACCACATTCACAATAGCACAATCAAGGATATAATAATACTGATATATTTCCATCCATCTGACATACTAAAGTAGCAACAACTGCATTCT